GAAAAAGTAACAATAGAAAGATTCTGTCCTGGACAGATTTGGTGGAACATTTGCGTGTGCGAAATATGTGCATCTTCATCAACCCGATTCTGAGGGAAACGTGCAGATAAACTTAAGTTTAACGATGGATTTTGACAAACAGTAGTAGAACTGTAGTTGATGTATTAATAAACGTGAGCGAGGTCAGCGTGAGTCAGAGACGGAGACGTGGCTTATCTCGGGTCTCCGACTTTATCTTAGTCGGATGGGTAGCAAACGGAGTTAAGTGGATGGAAGGAGATACTTGTGGAGGGTGCATGAGACAGTTTGTAGGCAGGAAGCCCTTTAAAAATACAAAACAAGAGTCACTAAACGAGAGAAGTATGAAATGGCTGCCCGTGTGTTTCCTCCTGGCCTGAGGAATGTGCTTAGCGTCCTGCCAAATCACACGCATCGCCTCGCTTTGTCCAAACCACATCCGCCTCAATGTGTTCATGACGAAGGAGGACGCCGATGGACCCCGGCGTTAACAGCCTGTTGTGTGTAAGAAAGTGTACAATTTCATATTTCTTTTGGACTGTATTGCCAGTATTCAGAATACTTCTGTCTTTACCGTCCATGTTTTAGCATGTTTCCTACAGCGTGTACACCCATTTTGAAGTTTCCCTCATGTTAATGTGAAGTCCTTTTGCAAATTCGTCAATGCTATAAATATACACGTATCTTTGTTTATCAAAGAGTTTCTTTCTTTATACTATGAGCTGGTTTCAGGTGTACTGCGGTTGTGCGTCAGTGAGAGAAGCCAGAACTGCATTCCTCTCAGGGATTAAAAGGATTAATAGGTATGCCATAATTACTGACAATGACAACCCATTCCAATGAGATCCACCCAAAAGATCAAAGGTTCCTCAAAGACATAACATGACGGAGAAACCAAAAGGTTTTTAATAAAGCAATTTCAGGGAGTTTGATTTTTTAAATTGTCTTTAAAAAATCAACTGTCAAGTTTGTGTTCATGTGTGTTGTTCTTATGATTTGACTTATGATTTGACTGCCAGAGGGCTGATTCATCCTCTCTATGTGTTGGATAGTAAAACACACAACCAGATGAACCGGTGTGGCTTCAGAGCCAAAGAGTGGCTCAGTGTCAAGTTATAATTGGATTATGGAAATTTTCCGTCCTTTGGCGAAGTCCGCCACACTTGTCCGGGGTAGTCGATCAGTTGCTTGATTACGGCATAGACAGGAAACAAATCATCTCGCGCATTTACACTTTCCACTTTCACTCACAAACCCACACGCACTGACTGGCCGGGCAGTCGGGAGTCGGCGTGTGCTCATTCAAACAACCTTCTTGCATTTTCTCTCGTAGCATCAGACACCAGTGAGTGTGTCAACCGGATGTGGCTCTGGTGAGCTCCAGCTGACTGTTAAGGCCTTGCTGTTCGCGGGTCTCCCCACTCACATCTGCTTCATGTTAGGGCCTGGGGGCCAGTGCGGGAGGGCCCAACATTACGCTGTGCTTCTCAGTGGGGGATGGCAGGAGAACGCCTGATGAACAGAGACACACAGCCTGATAGCCACCGGCTGGTGGCTGGGTTATGTCCAACAGGAAACATTGTAACTACATGTATGAACAAGGAAAAAGCTGAATCAAATAACTCACGAGTGTTTCGGAGAAACCGATCAGACAGGTCACACCTCCACAATTTATGTGGTACAGCAGTTTGTTATTGCGCAACATCGGCACACTGATGTGATTTGTGTGGTTTTCACATCCGTGTTGACATTTTTAACACCAGAAACCTGTCCCCAATCGAGGGGGCACGGTCGAAGCACGCTTTGCGCAGCATACAGTACCCGAAGAACAGCATTAGCTGACCCGGTCTCCTCTCGGATCGGTGGGGTCACTTGTGGGACTGTTGTTGAGAAATAACTACATTACTCCTGAAAAACACTGTATTACTGATTTGTTTGGTTGGTGACACTTAAACAAACAAGTTGTGGGATTCCTAAATATGGTTTACATGTATTTTTTTAAGTTGGCAGCAATAAATGAAATGTAATTCCAGAAGTACAGTGTTTTATCATTACGTTATCAGAGCAGCGTTCTTTATTGAAACGTAGAAAATCCACCTTGCCTTTCGTCACATCTTAGCTAGTAACATCTCATTCATTCAGTAATGAAAAAAACCCAATAGTGTGTATTATGTGTATAAACAAAAACAAAAGAAAATAGCCTTATAAAAATGTCCATTACCACTGGAGGATCAAGACTCTTTGTGGGTTAGAAATCAAAAAAGAAATCAAAAGTCAAATATCTAATCCCAGTAATTTAATCGAGGTGGTGGGAGGATTTCCTCGCATATTCCTTGAGTCACCTTGACATGAAGTGCTCCTACCACTCCTACATGTGTTAGATTAAAGTACACGTAGCCCTCTTCAGAGTTGACCTTTATACAGGGCAGATACTGTATATATCATTATTTTTTTCAAAACATGGTATCACTAAGACAAGTGTACCTGCATCACTGGAGCAGGATTGCTTTGCGTGGTCAGATTGGCAGATCTAAAGTTGTGTCATTGGGGTGTAGCCCATAGAGGGTAACTCATTGTTAGTGTGTTTTCAGGTTGTTTTGGAAAGAATTTGGCCATCAGATGAGTTTCTCGCTAAATACAAATGAGTAAGTAAATGTGTCGAGTCAGATCGACAGACTTGTGTTGGTCCGTGGTCACTCTGGCTGGGTGGGGCTTGTAGCTGCACATCTGGGAGTGAGCTCAATGATTTGTGTGCGATCGGAGCGGAGCCCCCTCTTCTCGGGTGACTAAAAGGGTGTGGGGGGGAAAGAGGGGGCCTTCGCAACCACGTCATGTCGGACCTGCAGAGAGAGCCATCTGTATTATGTCATGACTGCTGGGACACCCCACCCTTTGCTCTCGATTTCCCAGTTTCTGTCACTTCCAGGCTTCCCCACCCACTGTTTTTTTCTCGCCTCTGCTTCGTTGCTGTGTGTGTTGCATGTCTCGTGGCAGGCCTATCTCTGTCTGTGTTTGTACTCTCACCAGATCTTTTACAGCCAATCTTTGTTGTCCATGACTGCACTTTCTTCGCCCTATCTTCTGCCTTTCCGGCGTTAGAGTGAAAGCTCTTTGTTTGCACTCCCAGCTGTCTCTTTTGATGTTCACCTCTGCTCCTGGTGCACCACCTGAAAACCAGACGTGGACCCTCAACGGCCTGTAATTAACTGAAACAGGGATCCCTTTGGGGGCGCCAGCTAATTTCAACATAAATTAAAGTCAACGTTTAAAGTGGATGGCAACGAAAGGGATGCGTAAGGCAGAGCACCTTGTCTTATGGGAGCCTGTTGTGGATAAATGCTTGAGCAAAGGAATCAACTTGCAATATGCATATCCTGTACAGTGTGTGCATCCTGCTGTGTCTCTACAACAAATATCACAAGATCAGCAGATACGCCCTGCAATAAGGGTGCTACTACACACACACACACACACACACACACACACACACACACACACACACACACACACACACACACACAATAACCGGAACAGAAGACAATAACTGCTCAAACGTTTAAAAAGGCTGTAAACCTTCATTGTCAGATTGCCTTGAAATTAGCTTTGTTGTATGAACAGTAGAACAAGACTGATTAGATCAATGTCTCCACAGCTGATGATCTGATGGACTAGAGGGGAGTCTTCTCATACTCTTAATGTCTCTTTGGAAAAACGAATTTGCTTATTATTTAGAACGCTTTTCATTTGGGTATAAAATGTAATCATGGTTATTTAATAAGTCTGATTAAACTAAAAACGCCCTGTTCTTGATTTTATTCTGGGTAATATAAGAGTTAATGAAAGATAAAAGTCAAACTAATGAATATAAAATGTGTTAATCTGAGTTTATTGCACCACCTTCTGGCCAAAGACCGTAGCCCAAAGATTACAACTCAGCTCATAAATTGACATTATGGCGAAGGAAATTCGCATTTATTCAAAATCCAATGCTTGTTTAAGTTAAAATATAAGAATTAAAAGCAAAGGATCTGAGTCTAATTATTTGGCCCTATGTTCACATTCTGCTGTAGTTTGATTTCCATAGCAACCAACAAGACAAAAACGTGACAAAAAAGGACATATCTGAGACACAACTTTAACAACACAGCATATGTCAATCAGGGAATTGTCTTTCTTACAAGTCGCATGATGCTGTGAGTAGAATTCTAATTAATTTAGAACAGCCTCTGCTGTTCTGCCTGTTCTTCCTGAGGCAGCTGAAGAAATTCAACCTGCTAAAGACGATGATGGTCCACTTCTACACGGCCATCGTGGAGTCCATCCTCTGCTCCTCCATCACCGTCTGGTACGCTGCAGCCACAGCCAAGGACAAGGGCAGGCTGCAGCGTGTCATCCGCTCTGCAGAGAGGGTGATCGGCTGCAATCTGCCGTCCCTGCAGGACTTGTTTGCTTCTAGGACCCTGAAGCGAGCGAAAATAAGATCGTGGCCGACCCCTCTCACCCCGGACAAAACCTGTTTGTGCCCCTTCAATCTGGCAGGAGGCTGAGGTGCAACAGGAATAAGACCCCCCGCCACACCAACAGTTTCTTCCCGTCGGCAGTTGGTCCCCCACTGACTGACTCTGACATTCCACCGGTAACTCCCTTCAGAGTCCAAATGCACATACATTTGTCACTTTCACTCGTCACTTTCTGTTCTGTTCGCTGGTGCACTTTATCTTTGAGATTTTAAACTTTATTTAAATTTCCTATTGCATGTTGTCTCATCTGTCTTTTCGTCCATTGCCTTGTCTGATGTTAAGCACCAACCGCCAAAGTCAAATTCCTTGTATGTCTAACATATTTTGGTAATAAATGTTCCTGATTCTTAATAATGAGTGTGCACTCTTCAGATAAAACAATGTGTGCACCATATGATAAAGGAGTGTGTTGCTTGTTGGGACTCAATCATTGTTTGCATGAAGAAATGAACCAGTGAACCATTTTGCTTGTTATTATCAGATTCATTTACAGATGTAAGTTGGAGAGCATCTCCCTTGTGCATTTATGTACTAGCATTCAACATTTTTAAAAACTGCAAGAATTCTTATATTGTGCCACTCTGTATTTTCATAGCATGTTCAAACTACTTTCTGATGCATATAAAAATGTGATAAACAGAATACACCATTATTTAAAATGCTCAATGTTGATCTAATGCAGAATACTGAAAAAAGCTGCAGTTGAAATCATAACAAAATAATAATAAAAAGGTCAGTCATACTGTCTCACAAAGAAAAATAAGATGCTCTTTCATAGTGTAGTAATAATAAAAAAAGAGCTTTACTTTAATGACAAGAACGCCAAAAAGCAAACATGCTGGAAGTTGAGACACATATCAGCCATCCGACACCATACTCAGCATGCTTACAGAGCAAAGGACTACACAACTACAGACCTGCGTGCTTATTCAAAATAAAATAAACTGAGGCAATTGAGAATTATCAATTGAAACAGCTGGTCAGTTTCATTAGAAACAATGCTAAAGTGATTAGTTTGAGCAAAGGACTTAGGAAGGAAATATTTCAACAACTTCAATGTTGGACTGCAAGGGTATGCATGTTGATGCACCCATTATGTTTCAGAACAACAACAACAACACTACAAAGTAAAACCTTTACAGATGAAAAGCTACTGAATATGGGTTTTTATTTGGACCAATCGGCTGGAGGAGATAGAAAGGGGATGGACTGACAGAAGATGGCATCGGAGTAGGTCCGCTGGGAGGAGTAAGTGTGCAGGGTTGTCTCTGGGGCTGGCCTGCTAATACTACGGGGGAGGGGGAGGCTTTCTTTCTCGTCAGCCTCAGAGGATTTGCAAGGATGAAGAGGGGGACCAAAAAGCAGTCAGGAGGAAACCAAACTGTTAAAAGATATGGTGCAGAGGTGTTACTACACAGCTGGTCTTCAGAAGCCCGACGGTGTTAAAACATTCATGTCCCGAGGTTTTAGTTTGTGTGGCTTTGTGGGGGCCTGCTTGGTCTCAATACCAGAGATTTCAATCTTAGGCGGGTTGAAATTGGCAGGGTCGTCCACCTTGAAGTTGACCTGGGTGTTGGTGCCATCCATGGTAGAGGACTTATGCATGCCTAAATAGGACTGCAGTGAGAAGCCTGAAGGAGAGACAAAAAAGGGATGAAAGTTGACATGAATCAGCAGAATCTAGCAGTTATAAAAGAGAACAGGTTAAGAGTCACGATTTTAAAAAGTAACTTCACACCCCCTAAAAATGATGTTCTTTCTGACTGCTAAGACTAGTATTCATACCTGGTGGTTATTTTGCTCCTAAGTTAAGTTACATCCATGTCATCACTTCATTATTGTATCTGAGAGGAGCCCTTTTGGATAATGGGCCAACCCATTTGTTTATATTTGAGTAACAGATTGTTAGGAAAACTGGAAAAATCACAGCTTATTTTAAGAGCTGTTCGATTGCAACCAGAGTTTATCGGAGGCGGTTGAACCAGCATTATTGTATTCTGACCAAAAAAACAAACCACAGCTTGTCATGACACAGGTTTCAGACTGCTATAAGAGTCTATTATGCATTCATACTGTAATTTACAACTTCAAATGTAGACTGGGTATGAATCTCTAACCTGTGCTGGTTTCACAGCCTGGGTCAGTGGGGGACTTCTGTACCACAGATCGAGATCCAAAGAAGCTCCACCTCTCTGCTCCACCTCTTCCCTCATTTCCTCCCATGTCTGTGCTGTGGTTGGGACTGTGAAGCTCTGGGTTTGGAAGAAAAGGAACAGGACTCTGCTGGAACCAGCTCCTGTATTCCCGCCAAGCCAGAGCAAGGATTAAATATCAGAAGGACATGCCATACGGCTCACAATATGAGCCAAGTTGGAAAATGAAGCATGTTAAGATTTAATGTAGCATGGTGTATTGATACTAAAAAGGTATCGCGGTACCTGTCCGTTAAAAACAATAAGGCTTTTCATATTCTTAGTGTCGATACTTCATTGACATAATGACTGTTTTATGTATTACTATAACAGTATCGTATCACATTTATGGTATCACAGACTTATGGTATTGTATTAAATTCTGGTATTGTATATTAAGTTTCGGACCCTATTTAAAGGTTCCCGTTCCATCCATTTCGATAACATTCTGGATCTGGGTTTAGATCAAATAACAATACAAGCTAAACATTACGCCTACCTGCGACTAACTGCCGGTGATGAGTGGGGAGTCACGCTGGGGGTGACAGAGGGGGTGACAGAAGGGGTGGATTGGTTTGATGTTGTACACCTGTCCTCCTTGAAGTCCCCGCTTGGCATTCTCAACTTCTGTAAAAACAGAAAGAAAGCAATGAAACACAAATACTCTTTATTTCAGAGAGTGACTTAAAGCGTATTCATAGCTATGACTGGATCATTTTGAATGTCACGTATGCTTGTTCACAGCCCATGTTTTTGGCAAATGTGCCATGGACAGAGTACTGGTCTGATTGAAGAGCAAACACTAAATACACATGGAAAAAGGTCAGCAGGGTTTTTCTGGACCTGCTGACTGATAATGATTTGCATGCGTCAGAGATCCTCTGAGCATATCACCTGCTGTGACCACCGATGTCAGGGAGAAAGGAGAGACACATAGCGTAAACATTTTAGCATAAAATTACAGGATTTGATGTTGGACCACAAGTATTAAACATTATTACATCATGTTTTCAAATGTAAGCGGAGACAAGAAGTTGTATTTTACAAAAGCTAATTGCCGTAACGAATGATAACTGCAGATTATCTGCAATGGTTATGCAACACTCAACAATACAGGAACTGTATGTTCACGCACCCATGCCTTGACATCAACAAGATATATTTCAGGGATGAACCTCTGAAGAAAGTAGGTCAACATGTATCTTACATTTGAAGTGGCATATTGCTACATGACATTATATGTTGCGCTTCCAAATAGGGATCAACGATCTCGTCTTTATGGCTGTACATTGTGCTTTGGGCATGAATGACAGAAAGCCCCCGCGTATCATTCGGGTCAGTCTGCTGTTTGTTTACATCGCTGCTACAACGAAACATTCAAAATGAAGGATTCAACCATATTTGGGTTGATTTATAAAATGTGAGGGCAAGTAGAGAAAGAAAACAAAAAGGTTCCTTGCAAGGCACAGTGCTTATTACGTGCTCATGTGTTAAGAAAGGGGAAGGAGGTTCAAATACGATGACAACCCAATCATATTAACGTTAACGTGTAGTTGACGTTACACCACTTCGGGAAAGTGTGAAACATGTTTCACACTGGCGAGCTGACCTAGTGACCGTTTGTGTCTGTTTGCAGTTAACGTTACATTGATATACGTGAGGGGCCCACTTTAGGGCTAACGTAAGGTTAGTTTGCCTCTGAGGACCCCGGTTAGCTGGGGAGACATGACGGTTTCCTAAACTTTGATTTGTTCCAAATCTATTCAGGAGCTTAATTATAGCTCATAATGTACAGGTTTAGTGTGACGGAATCACGCTTAAATGTTAACAATGTCCCGTTAGCTTAGCTTAACTAACGTTATCTGTGTTCGTTTTTGTACACGGGCAAACGTTAGCTCAAATACAAGTACCGCTAACGTGAGCTAACGCTAGCCTACAATGTTGTTTTTCTAACGGGCAGTTTTCGGTCGGCATGTACAAACAGCGACAGCTAAACACAGTTGCGTAACATACCTTTTTATGATACAATTTCTTTGACGTTCCAGTCCGTCAAATCTCTTAATTTTGTCCATAATTAAGCGGTTTTAACACGTTTTTCTTCTCGAAAACACAAACGATAACGCCTGTACACCGCAGTGGGCCTTCTACACGCCGTTTTGCTTAAGAGCTCGGTGATTGGTCCATGTGACCAAACCAGGTTGATCCAGTCATTTCAGGGAGTTGCTTGGCAACACTACAGCCGGAAGCTCCAGCCAAAACTGATTACGTAATTTGTTATTTACTAACGTGTTGCCTGCAATCACGAACACAATACACTGCTAAACCAAATGGTTATATTATATAACTTACTGCAATAAAGCATGCTCATTTCAAGTAATTACAAAGACTTTTAGTAATATAGCTGCCACTGATCATAAAGGGTTTTTGTTCTTGTGGTGTGTCACCTCTATATAACCTTTTTACACCCCGGAGGGGGCCCCCAATTTTATGGGGGGGGGGGGGGGGGGGGGGGGCAGAGAAACTGTTTAAATACAGACAAAAGAGAAAACATAACCTTTGTGCGTCCACACACTGTGTGTGTGAGATTCTCCTGAGTCAGCTGTGTAACTTTTTAAAGAGGTCTTTGCACCAATGCCAAGCAACTTAAAAGGAACAATTTCCCCATTCCCCATAATCTTGGTGCAAGTAATATATAGACTACGCACAGTTGTCCTTCTTCCAAATCTTTCGGGATCTAAAAAAACAGTCTTGCCACAAGCACCCTGGTGGTAGAAAAACATGAATACAAGTCTAAAAACAACCTCCTAACACAGCTTACTCCATGTTTGTTTGCAGTCAGGTCCATTAGTTTCATCCAATGAAAATCAGACCAGAAACCATTAATTTAAGCAAAAATGTATGTTATAAACTAACTGTAAACCAGACAATTTGTAGGAGTTTGTCTTTTGACTTTATTTCAAGTTGTGCTACCCTCAATTATTCATTGTTATTTTTGAACGAAGAGAGAAACTTTTCACGGCTCCTCTGCAAATAAAGGCTTCTGCATTTTCATATATTCATATACTCACCGATGTGCCGTCGACCAGTCGGTGAAAGCGCGTCTCCTCAGCAGAGAGCCCCTTGTGGGGACAATACCCGGCATCAGTGAGACCTGCCTGGTGCTCAAACTTCTGGAGGCTCTCGTGAGTCTGCTCTAAGTGAGGACGGGCATAGAGTCAACAGACGACACAAAATTCATTGTTGTCGTATAATGCACTCCATTCCAGCCTGCTCTGAAGATTGTTCATCCATATTCAACAGTCAAGGCGGCAGCCATCTGGCCAATGATATTGGAGGTTTTATGTAATTCTATGACATAATGGAAGTTAGTGTGTCCGCGTCTCGACACACAGGGCTAGCGCCGATATATTAATCTCAATGACGAGAAAAAAACCCTCCATAATTTCAGTTGGTTTTGTTGACTTACTGATCATCAGTTCGCTCACTAAAGAGGTGGCTTTGGCTTTCACAACGGGCGCCGGGGACTTGACTGGCGATGCTGCCTCAAAAGCCAGCAACTTCCCGTCAATCTGGCCCTCCTAATCACACAGATTCACACTGTTAGAATTAGTCTACAAATCAGTTACAGAACCAATAGGAGCCAACCAAATGTGACCATGCATGCACAAGCCAAAACATACACCATCTTGCTTAGGTAACTGATATCATTTGGTTGAGATAGTGGGAACAAACTGAAAAGCACCTCTGCATTTTTCCTGAACTTGTGCCGTGGGATGACAGGGTCTTTCCAAAAGATGTTGACGGCCACGTCTGGAGGTGATGAATGCACCGTGGCATCCATGAGCTCATCATAGCTTACATTGCGCCTATTCAATCCGATCGGAGACGCACAGGTGCCGAACAGACCCAACGGTGTGCCCGACTCGAGTGCTAAAGGGAATATGGAAATATGAGGGAACTAACTCTGACATTGCCGTAAAACTAGAAATGATTTAAACATTTGAAAAAGTTTAAATTGTCACAATTTCTTCCTGCATTACCTGGAATGTCTCCCTGTCGTGAGGTCATTTTGACAGCAGATCAGAATAGCTGACCCCAGGAGACTGGAGGGTGACAGTGTGAAGGTCCACTCAGCTTTGGGCTCCAAACCTTTATTACACATAACATAACACAGTGTTACGGGGTCATTAGACGGACAGAAAAAAGATCTGCACTTATGGAAGCAAAGTGTGTAGTACGGCGAGTGCACGTCAGTCAGAAGCGGGGTTAATAAATACATGTCACATGCATGTTTTTAGTATTGAGTCAGAGAATAAACAAGTCGGCGGTTTGTATTGACCGTGTGAGGTGCACCGTGTCCTGTTTCTGACCTACTGCAAATAGAACCAAAGGGTCTGGTTACAGCCCTATCCTTAATATCAGTGGATAGGAGCAGGCTAATAATTAGGGAAATGACACTTTTTGCATTGATTGAATGACTATTTGCAAATGCTGCCCGTTTGATAAAATGAAACTTGTTCTTGTAATACCTCATTGTGTCAAAATGTACAGAAAGCCACTGAATAAAGTCCTGCTGGGTTACGCTGAACCTCATCATTCAGCCACACTCACTTTCCCTTGCGATCCACCTGCATTCGTCTCACTTCGACCGAATGACTGAATGAAAAGACTCTTTAAGCGGGCAGCCGCCATATTTTGCAGATTTACACAAGTGGGTTCAAGAAGAGTTGTCAGACAGCTGCTACCAGGTCTGCGCTCCTGAGAGTCAGATGGAATGACTTGCACAACAGGACCATCATGGACGCGTGGCAACAACGCCTAAAACGCTCTGTCAACTGCAACAATAATAACAATATTTAACACCGCGCATTGCCTGTGTGTGCGTGTGTGCGTGTGTGTGTGTGTGTGTGTGTGTGTGTGTGTGTGTGTGTGTGTGTGTGTGTGTCATAAACTACAGTGGCGTCTACAAATGCCGATATTGTTCAGTAATCCGCTGAGATTGCATGAAGGATAATATGGTCGTGCACGGTGAATCATTAAACGGACCACGTACCTCACTGTTTGTGTCACTATTTCCTCTCGTGCTGGAGTTTAGTCCACGGCCACGCGCGGATTCCTTTGCCACGCGAGGCGCGGACTCTCGGCTCACCGAACGGACAGATAGCGTGCGTTTCTTCATCGGCTGGTTCTTCCAGGACTTTTGGACGAGCAGGGAGTAAACAGAGGGGAGGGAGGGGGGTCGACCGGGGAACCAACCTATCCGACAACGGGGGGGTTGGCGGAAGTGATCATCCGAAAGTAGAAGCGCCGCAGGGACAAGGCGAGGACACGGGACGCCTTCTGAAAAAGCCCATTAAACATTACCAACCAGCAGTGCGGAGAATCATTCAGGTGTTACTCTCTAAATGTACAAGTATAATAATATACTGTTAAAACACCGGCGAAATGCTCTGTTTCAGAATAATGTTATTGAGTTATGATCCTTAATGCAATGCATTAATGTGCACATTGAATTTTATATTGCAGCTATTACACGTGGGACCGATTTTATTATTTATAAAAGCCACCCGTAGCTTGTAATATTCCTCCTATGCTCGTCTTCATTGAAATCATGTTTTGTATTGCTTATATTTTTTATTATTAATCTGAATCTGTAAAATTAACTAAAACATGAAATAAATGTAGTGGAGTAAGACAATATTTGGCTGTGGGATGAAGAAGCTAAGTAGCCACTTCAGATAACTCCCATCCACTCCCAGTTTAAATGTCTTATTTCAACATTGAGAAGGTTATGTTCACATATAGTGGTTAAGCTACATTTCCAGGTAATTAACAGTGTGTGTGTGTGTGTGTGTGTGTGTGTGTGTGTGTGTGTGTGTGTGTGTGTGTGTGTGAGGGGGTGTTTGAGCATTACAGCCTATCAGAATCAACTGATCTGAGCCGCCCCTGTCAGAGATTAGCATAGACCTATTTTTGGGGGGGTACCCTGTAATTGTAGAATCTCTGCATCTTTGGTGTATTCTGTTATCTCATACATATAAGTACTACTAGGAGTCCTTACATGTGCTGAAGAGACACCAAAAAAGAGTCTCCCTCTGATATTCAATGCATGGCTTTTTAGTTCTGTGTGAAGTCAGTGAACAAATAAACTGCATTTCTTGCATTGCCGCCCCAAACCACAAAGTGGCACTGTTGATGTAGCACAGAAAAACACACACTTTTTATTCCCTTGGGCCTTTATTATTTGTACAAAAACACTGACAGTTACAAAATACATAAAACTTGGTTCACAGCACATTCCTATTAAAAAAACAACTACATCTGAATTCGTCTGAGGTGCCTTTGTTTGGCAGGGGTCAGAGGTCATCTGCTCTTCATAATGATCGGAGGACGTAAATACTCAGATGTGAGCCGTGCTGCTGGTTTAGTTGAGCTCGGTTGGTCTGGTTGTAGTAGAGGGCGCCGGTTTCCTACACATGTCAAAGAAGAAGAACATCACACACATGACAACAGTGAGGAGAGGCCATCGGGTCATTTATTATCAAATATGGAGATTCTGTTAAAGATTCAAGTTGGAAGTTGCGTGGTCACTGTGTTCTGAAGCTCAGGCTTGCGTTCATGTCTGTAAAAATACTTACATAATTATAGCGATGAGTCTTTGCACCGGCTTCAACTCGGGGTTCAGGCAATAGCGACGGCCGTTGTTGTTGTTGACACTGTTGAAGAGGACAGTGGAGGTAAACATGTTAACATGATTCAGACAGAGTGATGACTAGAGGTGCTTGAAATGTGCAGGTTTGTTATAACTTTCACTACAACTGAGGCCAAACTTAAACTATTTACCAATCGTGACTGGAAAGAATAAAATTCTACTCCAGGAATTTTGTGTGAGAGGTTTTCTGAGAAGCTTCTAATTAGCAAATAATCCTTTTATAAATAGGACACATCTTAAATAACAAATTCAGTGCATCTTACACAATCTCCACTTTGTCACAGAAGACGGATGGTGGGTAGATCTGGATCTGGATGTCCTTCATTTTAGTCCCACTTTGAATTCCCCTCTGGACATTTGCACACAGACACTGATTTCCTGACGTGTGATCAACTGGTGAAAGACAAAGAAAAGAATCACATGATTTATTCAGTGGATCACAGAGAAAACAAACATTGTCCGTGTTAAAGTAGTGAACGCTAAAGAAGCATTAAAACTTACGTTGAGCTTCGGAGATGCAGAACATGACAGCCAGGAGCAGAAACACTTTCATGATGCCGGACATCGTCGGTTTTTGGTTTGGTGAAGAAGGCCGTGGTGCTGTGATGAAGGTGATGAGAGGAGCTGGAACAAGTGCAGCTGGAGGGATTGACAAGAGTCAAAGACAACTGTGAGGGATAGAGGCAACGGGCCTTCTTAAATGATCTCATTAGACACCAACCTCGTCACACTTCCTGTGGTGAGGGGGCTTTTTGAGACAGGAAACTTAAAACCAACAAAATTACCCCATCCCGCTCTTTCCATTTATTGTTGTTGTTATGTAGAAAAATAAGTGTGACGTAAAGGGCTGAGGGGCAGAATAGTAAAAGGGGTGTATGGCTGCAGGGACAAGGCGAGGACACGGGACGCCTTCTGAAAAAGCCCATTAAACATTACCAACCAGCAGTGCGGAGAATCATTCAGGTGTTACTCTCTAAATGTACAAGTATAATAATATACTGTTAAAACACCGGCGGAATGCTCTGTTTCAGAATAATGTTATTGAGTTACGATCCTTAATGCAATGCATTAATCTGCACATTGAATTTTATATTGCCGCTGTTACACGTGGGACCGATTTTGTTATTTATAAAAGCCACCCGTAGCTTGTAATATTCCTCCTATGCTCGTCTTCATTGAAATCATGTTTTGTATTGCTTATATTTTTTATTATTAATCTGAATCTGTAAAATTAACTAAAACATGAAATAAATGTAGTGGAGTAAGACAATATTTGCCTGTGGGATGAAGAAGCTAAGTAGCCACTTCAGATAACTCCCATCCACTCCCAGTTTAAATGTCTTATTTCAACATTGAGCAGGTTATGTTCACATATAGGGGTTAAGCTACATTTCCAGGTAATTAACAGTGTGTGTGTGTGTGTGTGTGTGTGTGTGTGTGTGTGTGTATGTGAGGGGGTGTTTGAGCATTACAGCCTATCAGAATCAACTGATCTGAGCCGCCCCTGTCAGAGATTAGCATAGACATATTTTTGGGGGGGTACCCTGTAATTGTAGAATCTCTGCATCTTTGGTGTATTCTGTTATCTCATACATATAAGTACTACTAAGAGTCCTTACATGTGCTGAAGAGACACCATAAAAAGAGTCTCCCTCTGATATTCAATGCATGGCTTTTTAGTTCTGTGTGAAGTCAGTGAACAAATAAAGTGCATTTCTTGCATTGCCGCCCCAAACCACAAAGTGGCACTGTTGATGTATGTTGAGAATTAAATATAACCACGCATGCTCACGCTAAACCATAATCACATTTGAGTGATAATTGTGTAACAATAAGGAGTGGAGTGTCACACCTGTATGTCAAGTTAGGTTTTTGTCCTGTCTCCATGTTTGTTTTGTGACTTCCTGTTTTATTTTGGAAATTAACTGTCCTCTCGTTTCAGGTTCCTTCAGGTGCCGCCCCAAACCACAAAGTGGCACTGTTGATGTAGCACTGAAAAGCACACACTTTTTATTCCCTTGGGCTTTTATTATTTTTACAAAAACACTGACAGTTACAAAATACATAAAACTTGGTTCACAGCACATTCCCATTAAAAAAACAACTACATCTGAATTCGTCTGAGGTGCCTTTGTTTGGTAGGGGTCAGAGGTCATCTGCTCCTCATAATGATCGGAGGACGTAAAGGCTCAGATGTGAGCCGTGCTGCTGCTTTAGTTGAGCTCGGTTGGTCTGGTTGTAGTAGAGGGCGCCGGTTTCCTACACATGTCAAAGAAGAAGAACATCAGACACATGACAACAGTGAGGAGGCCAACCTTGTCACACTTCCTGTGGTGAGGGGGCTTTTTGAGACAGGAAACTTAAAACCAACAAAATTACCCCAACCCGCTCTTTCCATTTATTCTTGTTGTTATGTAGAACAATAAGTGTGACGTAAAGGGCTGAGGGGCAGAATAGTAAAAGGGGTGTATGTTCCAGCCAAATTCCTGCCACCTACACCATCGTGCCAGGAGACACACCTGGGCCTCCTCAACAAGAGGGGTACAAAAGAAGGCGGAAGGAGCAGTGAAGGGAGACAAGTTGGTAGAGGACCCCAGTAGGCCGGATAGCGGCCCGGCGTACAGAAACTTGAGATGTTTTTGAGGAACACGGGAGATAACTGTAGTTATTTATTTGTTTGTTTCTTTATTTGATTTGATTAAGCTGCTCCAACGACACCCTCTGCCTCTGCCTCTTGACTTCTGCACTGCGAGTAATTCGAAAACCTCCGTGCCATCCTGTTACAGTGAACTTCAGTCACTTGGGAACAGTTTTAATGTGGTGCTTGAAATTGAGTATTTCTGATCAATGAAAAAACATTGCCTTGCATTGGCTGCTCCCAACCACGAGGCAGCACTTGATACAGGGCACAGAAAGTATCAGACATTCATCAAAAAACAGTGAATCAATGCTTCTTTCATTTGTTTATTTTTTATTTAAAAAACTCTGACCAAAATGCATACAACTTTGTTTACAGCACAAACATCTATTTTCAAAAACAGACGCAAAGAAATGAAATAGAGCAGAGATCATAATGTAAGTGCACATCAGTATGAAAGGGACGTAAATAGACAGTTCAATCTAACTACATCTGCAGTCGTTTGATGCACCTTTGTTTTGGTGGGGGAAATAAATGTAGTGATGTAAGAAGTACAATATTTGCCTGTGGGATGAAGAAGAATGAGGTAGTCGGGATAAAACAAACAAAGTAAGCTAAGTAGCCATTAACTCTGATATGTGTGTGTGTGTGTGTGTGTGTGTGTGTGTGTGTGTGTGTGTGTGTGTGTGTGTGTGTGAGGGGGTGTTTGAGCATTACAGCCTATCGGAATCAACTGATCCGAGCCGCCCCTGCAGAGTTCAGCATAGACCTGTTGTTTTTTAGGGGGGGGATTACCCTGTAATCGTAGGATCTTTGCAGCTTTGGTGTCCTCTGTTATGTCATACATACAAGTAGTAGTAGGAGTAATTAAGTGTGTTGAAGAGACATCTTAAAAAGAGTCTC